CTCTTGTTCCTTACTCAACTCTAAAATCTTAATTACATTCTTTTCTCTCTCGCCCCCCCCCCCAACCACTCCCCTCCACCCCATTTTTTTCATCATCTTTCTTTATGTATACTACTGACATATTGCATTTTTGTAAAAGCCGCACCCTTAACTTTGGTGTTCACATTTACCGGTATTTTTATCTGAATGTTATCGATTTTAGGCGAAATATTTTTTTTGGTTAGTTTAAAGACTTAAATTCTATGGAAAAACACTGAACCCGGCCACCAAGCTGACGGCAATCGGGGACAATGCAGCAGAGATCAAAGACAAACAGCGGTGACTATAATGAAGACGTGACTATTAAGAGACATGCCAGGCCACGATGTATGCAGTCAGAGACAGTTGAACAAATAGCAACAATGATGACAGACAATGGCCTGGCTGCTAGGCTGGCTGGATTAGTCGATTTCAAATGACTAAAGTTGAAAAGCTAAGTTTAAAAAAAAAAAGAGGAAAATATCGTCGCCCAAAGACAAACACTGAAATTGATTAAACTCTGCGATTAGCCGTGAAAAAAAAATGGGGGTGGGGGGGGAAGGAGAAGAAAAGAAATCCCTGCTAACAGGAGGATGGACAGATCGAAGCATATTGTATCGAAATGTTGGCTTCTGGGAAGTAATATCTTAGACAACTAGTCACAAACTGACAGCTAGTTGGCTTCTGTGACGTAACTTTGTTAAAAAATTGTAACTTAGCGACATCTAGTTGGCTTCTGTGAAGTAATATCTTAGACAACTTGTCCCATAGCGACATCTAGTTGGGTTCTATAAATTAATATCTTTAAAAAACTTGTCACATAGCAACATCCTGTTGGTTTCTATGAAGTAATTTTGTTAAAAAATTGTAACTTAGCGACATCTAGTTGGGTTCTGTGAAGTAATATCTTAGACAACTTGTGACATAGTGACACCTGCCTAGTTGGCTTGTGTGAAGTAACTTTGTTGAAAAATTGTCACCTAGCGATAATCTAGTTAGATCTACTATGAGCCTTATGATGTTGTATTCCCGTTACGTAGAGATATCTACACATTAAGGTAACTTTGTCTAGGTTATTGATCAATGTAAGAGTCCCGCGTTCAAATCCTAGCACCACCAACTTCAGCACTTACAACAACGTATCTGCCACCACCAACTTCAGCACTTACAAAAACGTATCTGCCACCTTCAGCACTTACAACAACGTGTCTGCCACCACCAACTTCAGCACTTACAACATCGTTCTATCACCACCAACTTCAGCAATTACAACACCGTCATGTCACCATCAACTTCAGCACTTACAACACCGTCCTATCACCATCAACTTCAGGACTTACAACATCGTCCTATCACCATCAACTTCAGCACTTACAACACCGTCCTATCACCATCAACTTCAGCACCTACGACAGCAGTCTAGCACCAACAACTTCAGCACTTACGACAGCGGTCTATCACCAACAACTTCAGCACTTACGAAAGCGTTCTATCACCAACAACTTCAGCACTTACGACAGCGTATCTGTTACCACCCTCACCTGGACACGTGTACCATTCTAACATGAACTCCATGTTAAATCTATTTTTTCTGGCATTCCGCGATGAGACAGTTTGGGCACAATGGATGGCTGGAGCGGTCATTTACTTAAAATCTGAGTCATCAATGAATTTCCTGGGTAGTTTTGAACATATTATCTTGGCAATGTTACTTTAACTAATTACTTCATTATATTGAGAGTGATCTAGTAAGGATCTGTTGTATAATGTTCCTGTTTGTGTCCATTACATTTAACTGGTGCATTCCATTTGCCAAAATGGGCTACCTAGCTCTAATGCCTGAAGAGTATAGCACTATGGTAGCTAATATATTGCATTGGTCTGTTGTTGTTTTTTTGTTGTTTTTTTTTGTTTTGTTTTTTGGGGGAGTTGGGAGTAAGTCATGCCATAAGGTCTGTGTGTCATTATCACAGAGGCCCAATTCTACACAGCAATGTATTATCATGAAATCATTCGCCAACAACAACACTCGCGAAATAGCATACAAAGGCAGTAGTGCAAAAATATATATATATATATATATAACAAATTAGAGATGTCTTATTTTTTTAAATTTGTATTTTAGAACTCTTTAACTCTGAAATTCATTCGCCGTAGACGTAACTTCTAGTGTGTATGTTCACGTGATAACGATTGATTTGTTTCTATGTTGTCCAGCCGGTCTTGGTAGCGACACCTGAGGTGGCCCTGGCCTGGTCATCACAGACAATCGGGCCGACAGCGTCGTCAACTGTAAACTACAATGTGTTGGGTACAACTGTTGGAAAGAAACGGCTGCCAACTTAGAGTTGATTTTGTCAAGGAGTTACTATTTACGGGAATTACAATTGATTACCCCGAATTTAATTATCAAGAGTTAGCCTCGTGGTCGGCATCGTATAGCTTTAGACTCGGGATCGGTATCGAAAATCCTTGCATTCGGAGTCGGTATCGAATATCCTTGCATTCGGAATCAGTGTTGAATATACTGAGACTCGGAGTCTGTATCGAATATACTTAGAGTCGGAGTAGGCATCGAATGTACTTTGACTCAGAGTAAGTATCGAATATACATTAGAGTCGGAGTAGGTATCGAACATACTTAGAATCATCGTCATAACAACAATCCCTTTAACAAATCTGTTTGAACATGGTTGGTAAATAGGGCCGTGAGTGAAAGATTGGCCCCTGCCTCAAGATTATCGTGAATAATCAGAGTTGCGAGTTTCTAGACACACACTTCCGCTGTGTTCACCAAACAAACATAAATAAATGTAAAAAAAAAATGTCTATGATTTGGTAGCGGCGGTGGGGGGGAGGGTGGGGCAAACCACAAAGTCTCAAGCCTTGACACAAGGAAATCTCACAAGTTTGACACGTGTCATGAGACAACACAGGTTTGTTTTCACTCAATCCACAAGATCGGAGAGACAATAAATTGGTTGAGTGTATAATGGATGGAGTCGACGTGGTGACACTATGATGGAACTGTGGACAGAGTCGACATGGTGACACGATAGTGGCACTGTTTACAGAGTGAACATGGTGACACGATACTGGCACTGTTTGTTGACAGAGTTGACATGGTGAAACGATAGTGGCACTGTTGACAGAGTTGACATGGTGACACGATAGTGGCACTGTTGACAGAGTTGACATGGTGACACGATAGTGGCACTGTTTGTTGATAGAGTTGACATGGTGACACGATAGTGGCACTGTTTGTTGACAGAGTTAACATGGTGACACGATAGTGGCACTGTTGACAGAGTTGACATGGTGACACGATAGTGGCACTGTTTGTTGACAGAGTTGACATGGTGACATGATACTGGCACAGTTGACAGAGTAGTCCATTCGGCGTCTCTAAAACATTTAACAAAACCAGAAAAAAAAGAGAAAAAAAAAACAACAAAAATAAAAAAAATAAAAAAAATAAAAATCTAATCGACTAAAAACACTTCATTTAAAAAAAACCGATCTCATTTTTAGACAATCTTTTATAATTTGAAGACATTTTAAAAGTTCATCATGTAAACAAATTTTCGGCATTTTTTTGTTTGTTTGTTTGTGTTGTATTTGTTTTTTAGAAATAAGACATACAAATCTAGGGATCTATACATATCAAAACAGTATCCTAATTTTACACTAGGTTACTAGGGATTTTATTTCACTGGCAAAGGTTTTAGCAGCTCATTAATTATTTCCAAATATATTTTATGTGTTATTAAATAGACTTTGTGTAGTTTATGTGGCTAAGGATTACTCAACAAAACCAACTTCCATACACTAAATTATGTCATTAAAGTAAATTGAAGTAGTTTTTTTCCCAAAGAAAACACAAAATTGATAATGAATTTAAACATTGACAAGTCATAGAAATTTTGGCGACCGCAGTGTCTAAAGAAGTAAAAACCAATATATTTTAACATAGTGTGTGTCATCTCTGAGCTCTGTGTTATAATTTACGTACCATATTCACATTACGTCATGTTCACATTGTTTACCCTCATCCTATGATTTTTTTTTCTTTTCTACCCACTGTGAAAGCGTAATAGATTTTAAAATATCAGTGTTCACTACGTCATCATAAGAACACACATTACTTTTCCTCCTGCTCTAGTCTAGCCTCGATATGACAAACTATGCCAACCATTTTTTTTTTTCCCTTCAAATATTTTACAATCAAATCACCGGGCTGGTATATTTGCAATCGCTATTTTAGCAGCTTGAGACATTAGCCAAATTGCTGCGTAGGTTGAGACTTCTAATTTTAAGCGCATCCCTCCTGGTGCGAGAGGGTATTAAAATAATGCATTATTTGCGTTTGTCTGCTGTGCGAAGGGAGATAATCGCCAGCAGAGTCACACGGGAGCGCAGTTAGGACAGTCAGGGGTTGCGGGACCTCTTCACGTTGCGGGTGCAGTTAGAAATAATTATGTATATGGACGTCTTTCCAGAGTATCTTTCGTACATTTAAAAAAAAAAAAAAAAGTATTTTCTGTGCTTTTTTGATAATCGGTTTAGTTCGATACTTTTAAACATAAATACGTTTNCTTCACGTTGCGGGGGCAGTTAGAAATAATTATGTATATGGACGTCTTTCCAGAGTATTTTTCGTACATTTAAAAAAAAAAAAAAAAAGTATTTTCTGAGCTTTCTTGATAATCGGTTTAGTTCGATACTTGTCAACATAAATACGTTTTAAGGACGTTTAATTCTAACATTTTCTTAGGGCGATACCGGGGTCATCGATTGACATATCGGCTTTGTAATATATAGCGATTGGTCTATGATGGTGACAGTGTTCGCAATCAAACAGAGCTTCACGCCAATACTGCGGTATGGTTTCACTTAGTTTTTTTTTTTCATGCTTGAAGCTTGGGTCTATGCAAGCTGTCTCATAAAATGTTACATTTGAAATGAAAAACTTGTACAAGTAATTTTTTTTATATGTTTAATTTAATTTTGAGAAATATTACATGTTTGAAGATTATGACGTGTAAACTTGTAACAAAATAAATAAGAAAAAAAAACAGATAGAAAAAAAAAGTATCTTTTTACATTTAACTGATATTAAAAATAATCACACACATATAATGTTGAAACAAACTAATTATTTATTCTCGTTCGGGAATGTATGTAAAAAGTTGTTTAAAAAATGCGTTTTAAAATGCTATCACAAATATACAGAAACTTAACAATAAATGTATTTATGAAAATTTCCTTAAAATAAGTTTTCAGTGGGTTGCAATAAGGTCCCCATGGGAAAAATATGGGTATACCAGCAAAGTTAATTAATTGCAGCCTCTACTTTAAATTTTTTTTGTAAAAAAAAAGTAATTGGAAGAAGATTGGTAAGGAAACGGCAAAGGCGACAGGGCAATATACTGTGAAGCATACATGGAAGGAGACAGGGAATTAGAATGGGAAGGAGACTGGGAAGGAGACAGGGAATTAGAATGGGAAGGAGACTGGGAAGGAGACAGGGAATTAGAATGGGAAGAAGACTGGGAAGAAGACAGGGAATTAGAATGGGGAGGAGACTGGGAAGAAGACAGGGAATTAGAATGGGAAGGAGACTGGGAAGGAGACTGGGAAGGAGACTGGGAAGAAGACTGGGAAGGAGACTGGGAAGGAGACAGGGAATTATAATGGGAAGGAGACTGGGAAGAAGACTGGGAAGGAGACTGGGAAGGAGACAGGGAATTATAATGGGAAGGAGACTGGGAAGGAAACTCGGAAGGAAACAGGGAAGGAGACTGGGAAGGAGAATGGGAAGGAGACTGGGAAGGAGAATGGGAAGGAGACTTGGAAGGAGACTGGGAAGGAGACTGGGAAGAAGACTGGGAAGGAGACTGGGAAGGAGACTGGGAAGAAGACTGGGAAGGAGACTGGGAAGGAGACTGGGAAGGAGACTGGGAAGGAGACAGGGAATTATAATGGGAAGGAGACTGGGAACTAAAATTTATTTATTTTAAACGATCACATCCAACAATGGATTATCAGAAACATTAAGAGGAGGTTTTGGGGGGGGGGGGGGGGGGTCCCTTTTTTTTTTTTTTTCATTTAGTTTAATAAAATTATGGCTTCTCACATTGTGTCTTCCGGCACCGGGTTGGGTATTGATGGGTTAATAAAGGAAGAACAGAAACTGCGATAAAACCTGTATCACAATGTACGGTAGCTTCATGTTTACAGAAACAATGGTTCATTGATTTGGCTGCACACATTAGATAACGAGATAAACCTTAGATTTTTAAAAATGTATAACTCAGATTCGTTGTTTTCTTTCAAAAATGTCGCCGGTATCTCAAGGTATCTAACAAGGGCTTCAATGTAAGGTGATCAAATGTTTAAATTTATCAGACCGAGTCTTGGAAGTAGACAAATAGTGTGTGCATATTTCTCAGTAGACCTACAGGAAAGTGATCATGGGAAGCTAAGTCGTGCGATAATTAAGAGACAAAAATAGGGAGTTACTTGAGCGAAATAGAGGAGCCGATGTTAAATGTCTATGTTTTTTTTTTCGGTTCTATATTGCATAGTTAGTTAAAGATATTTAAAGAACATTCTTTATTATAAGTAAATAAGAATCACATCTGCTTTAAAAAGACGAATTAAATTTTTTTAAAAATAATGCAGGCATTTCGCGTCACCCTGGCCGCCATAGTTGCTTTGAGTCATTGGTTAATTGAAGGTAGGGTTGTAGATGGCCTCTTGTTTATCCCCCTCTGTTCTGCTGTGTAGATCCAAGCCTGATGACGTCTGGGCCGCCCTTGACCTACTGAGATCAACTTGCAGGTCATCATCAAATCTCTGCAGATGTCTCTGTTTTCTGGTGAGTTATTAACAAGAACAACAAAAATGACGTCAACGCAACAAGAGGTCAAGGTTCATTAGCAGCTTCGTGTGTATAAAAGTTTCTTATATGTCACGTGCATCTCTCCCTCACTTTAAAGAAAATACAGGTCATGTCAACGCTACTACCCAAGTCAAGGCTACTACCCAAGTCAAAGCTACTACCCAAGTCAAGGCTGCTACCCAGGTCAAGGCTGCTACCCAACTCAAAGCTGCTACCCAAGTCAAGGCTGCTACACAGGTCAAGGCTGCTACCCAAGTCAAGGCTGTTACCCAATGCAAGGCTGCTAACCAAGTCAAGGCTCCTACCCTGGTCAAAGCTACTACCCAAGTCAAGGCTGCTACCCAAGTCAAGGCTGCTACCCAAGTCAAGGCTACTACCCAAGTCAAGGCTACTACCCAAGTCAAGGCTCCTACCCAGGTCAAAGCTACTACCCAAGTCAAGGCTGCTATCCAAGTCAAGGCTGCTACCCAAGTCAAGGCTACTACCCAAGTCAAGGCTGCTACCCAAGTCAAGGCTCCTACCCAGGTCAAATTGCTACCCAAGTCAAAGCTACTACCCAAGTCAAGGCTACTACCCAAGTCAAGGCTACTACCCAAGTCAAGGCTGCTACCCAGGTCAAAGCTACTACCCAAGTCAAGGCTGCTATCCAAGTCAAGGCTGCTACCCAAGTCAAGGCTACTACCCAAGTCAAGGCTGCTACCCAAGTCAAGGCTCCTACCCAGGTCAAAGCTACTACCCAAGTCAAGGCTACTACCGAAGTCAAGGCTACTACCCAAGTCAAGGCTACTACCCAAGTCAACGCTACGACCCTAGTCAAGGCTACTACTTAAGGCATGGTCATCTTAACATGCGAAGCACGAACAATAATAATAAAAATTAAACATGACACATTTTAATCACGCCACAAAAATAATGCCGTGAAGATGTTAGAAATTATTTTTTTTTGGATAATTCAATAGTTTGCACTCGAGTAGTTTAGGTCTTCCCTCATCACCGTACCTCATCATTACCCATTCTCAAAACCATACGCCAACTTTCACTCAACATCTTATCATCAACAATCTCTTCATATCTTACCATCACCCATCTCCCTTACCTTACCATCACCCATCTCCCTTACCTTACCATCACCCATCTCCCTTACCTTACCATCACCCATCTCCCTTACCTTGCCATCACCCATCTCCCTTACCTTACCATCACCCATCCCCTTACCTTACCATCACCCATCTCCCTTACCTTACCATCACCCATCTCCCTTACGTTACCATCACCCATCCCCTTACCTTACCATCACCCATCTCCCTTATCTTACCATCACCCATCCCCCATACCCTACCCTCATCAATGCCCCATAACTTTCAATTTGATCATGTACTAAGTCTTACAATTTCACAGAACACAAACCTTTCAATTTGACCATGTACTAAGTCTAACACCTTCACAGAACACAAACATTTCAATTTGATCATGTGCAGCGATAATGAATTTGTGTGCGATGTCTTCAATTAAAATCATATTTGTCACTTCCAAAAATGTTTCTATGAATCCTATGTGGTTGGGGGGGGGGGATGACCATGTTTTTTTTATAGTAAAAATGATATTGTTATTTATAGAAGGAATAGATTATCGTTCCATTCATTAATGTAAAAAGTGTTTCTCTTTATTACAAATAACAGAGAAAATTGAAACAAAACAAACAACCGAAATAAATAAAACAACGAAAACTACGTGTTCTAAACGTACTCTGTGCCAAGGGAAGCAATCCCCTATTAAATTTACAATACCGTAGATTGTCACTGTTAATGTTCTTTGTTTCTTAAATATCCAAATTATTAATGCTGGTCGATAATAATCACGTCTTGGTGATGTAAGCTCTTATATATTATATATTTAGCGTCTGGTGTGTCCTGCTTTCTTTTCACAACCTTTTCTACTCAACATGCTTTATATTTAAAAGACATAGTCAGAAAAAAAAAATATATATCTGTCCCGTAGCGAGCGTCAAGCGTGACGGTTGAACTCAGGTAAAAAGGTAGACCTCTTTGCTTGAAAGGGTGGGGGGGGGGCGACTATTTCAAATATTATGAAAAGGAAATAACCCATTAGAATTACCCCCTCACAAAAACTGACCCAGGGACAATAATCTCACATGGTAGCCAAAGTCCGTGATAAATCTAGGAAGGTGCATTTTGGTTTTAATTTTTAGCTTGTTGGGTTAGTGGGGGNGGATCAATTAACGGTATTCAGAATCTAGTTTTAAACCGGTTATTGGTTATTAAAATTTATTCTGACAGAGGCTGGCGAACATGGGGTAAATTATGCCAAATCAGGAAAACATAAAAATCATGGGGCTAATGTGCGCGAAATAGACATAGACAAACATCGGCGTCACTAGGGTGGGTTAACAATGCGGGGGGGGGGGGAGTGTGTTAAACTCTTATTATATATAGTTAATGTGGCATAGATCTTGGTGATTAAATATATAAGATATCGTCAACTTGACATAGGTATTCAGGCTCAGATCTGTTCTTCTTTTCTCTTCTTACCTCTTAAATCTCCGTTTGAGAAGGAAGATGGCGATGACCAGCACTGCCAGACACAGCACACCTGTGATGACGCCTAGCACAATGACCACCGTGTCGTTGGAGTCACTGGACGTGTCGCTGGCTGAGATGGGCTGAGCTGTGGCCAAACACCTGGGCTCTAGATACAAACAACGTCCAGAATGTTTGAATATGAAGTTTAAAAACTTTACTTTGCCGTTTTCGTAATAAGACCTTGTCTTTATTAAGAGACCTTGGCATCACAGTTAATTGCTTGTCACGTGACTCAAAGGGGGCTTCCATGTGTATATTTTAAATTTAAACAAAAAATGTAAACTGAAACCTATAATAAAGATGTTAACTTAGTCGTGGGTCTATTGTACCGGTGAATGGCGTACCACTGTACCTAGCGCCCCTACAGCTCACATCTTGGTATTCAATCATAAAAAAAAAAATTATACAGATGTTTGTTTTTCTGTGTTTCATATAAAAATGGCATGGCACCGTTTCCTTAATTGTCCCAACCCACCACATTAAAGCAGGATGCTGTAGATGAGATATGCAAGAATATCAATGTTTTTTTTAAATCAATCCTATTATCAATATTATGCACGTTATTACAAAGAGTTTTGATGGTATTGAAATCCTTCACCTGCAGACACCAAAGGAATGATCTTGGTGCCACACTCAACATTGAAGCGCAGCATACTTCGTTTAAACTCAGAGTGTTAATTGAAATGGAAAAATATTTAATAAAAGACGTATTTTAAAGGAAACTCAACGCATGTTTAGGGCTGGCTACCTGAAAGTCTGGTCCAGGAATCGGTTCTTTTATCTGGGTCACATCTGTAGCAACTGTCGTCTGCGAAAATCTCGTGTCGTGCATAGCACTGGCTGTCAATCACGCAAGTGTCGGCCTGTAGAGCAATCATACTAACAGGTTTTTAAGATTGTAACCCAGACACGTTACTTTTTATGGAAAAGAAATTATGACAGTGCTCCAATGGCAGGACCAGTGTGCCAGGGTCAGTGTGACAGGGGCAGTGTGTCATTGTGTCAGGGTCAGCATGTCAGCGTCAGTGTGCCAGGGTCAGTGTGTCATTTTGTCAGGGTCAGTGTGTCAGGGTCAGTGTGCAGGGCCAGTGTGTCAGGGCCAGTGTGTCAGGGTCAGTGTGTTAGGGCCAGTGTGTCATTGTGTCAGGGTCAGTGTGTCAGGGTCAGTGTGCAGGGTCAGTGTGTCAGGGCCAGTGTGTCAGGGCCAGTGTGTCAGAGACAGTTTATCAGACCCAGTGTGTCAGGGTCAATGTGTCAGCCAGTGAGCAAGGATCAGTGTCATGGTCAGTGTGTCAGGGCCAGTGCGCCAGGGTCAGTGTGAAAGGGTCATTTTGTCATTGTATCAGGGTCAGTGTGTCAGGGTCAGTGTGCAGGGCCAGTGTGTCAGGGCCAGTGTGTTAGGGCCAGTGTGTCATTGTGTTAGGGTCAGTGTGTCATGGTCAGTGTGCAGGGTCAGTGTGTCAGGGCCAGTGTGTCAGGGACAGTTTATCAGAGCCAGTGTGTCAGGGCCAGTGTTTCAGCCAGTGAGCAAGGATCAGGGGCATAGTCAGTGTGTCAGGGCCAGTGTGTCAGGGCCGGTGTGTCTTTGTGTTAGGGTCAGTGTGTCATGGTCAGTGTGCAGGGTCAGTGTGTCAGGGCCAGTGTGTCAGGGACAGTTTATCAGAGCCAGTGTGTCAGGGCCAGTGTTTCAGCCAGTGAGCAAGGATCAGTGTCATAGTCAGTGTGTCAGGGCCAGTGTGTCAGGGCCAGTGTGTCAGGACCAGTGTGTTAGGTCCAGTGTGTCAGGGACAATTTATCAGAGTCAGTGTATCTGAGGCAGTGTATCACAGGCAGTGTATCAGGGCCAGTGTGTCAGGGACAGTTTATCAGAGCCAGTGTGTCAGCCAGTGTGTCAGTGTATCAGAGGCAGTGTGTCTGGGCCAGTGTGGCAAGGCCAGTGGCAGGGCTACTGTGGCAGGGTCCATGTGGCAAGGCATGGATGAAATGGCTTTGGTTACAAAGTTTTCGTGGTAAGGTCTGTTGGAAGGCAAGAGTAGCATGCCTGGACATAGGAAGGTTGGTGCATGCCTGGACATAGGAAGGGTGGTGCATGCCTGGACATAGGAAGGGTGGTGCATGCCTGGACATAGGAAGGGTGGTGCATGCCTGGACATAGGAAGGGTGGTGCATGCCTGGACATAGGAAGGGTGGTGCATGGCTGGACATAGGAAGGGTGGTGCATGTCTGGAGATAGGAAGGGTGGTGCATGGCTGGACATAGGAAGGGTGGTGCATGGCTGGACATAGGAAGGGTGGTGCATGCCTGGACATTGGAAGGGTGGTGCATGCCTGGATATAAGAAGGGTGATGCATGCCTGGACATAAGAAGGGTGGTGCATGCATGGACGTAGGAAGGGTGGCGCATGCCTGGACATAGGAAGGGTGGTGTAGTGGGGGGGGGGTTGGGGGTTGGTCCGTCCCGTTAGGAACTATTTCTCTTTACATATTGAGGTGATGCATTTTCTGCCAAATTTTCTGCAGAATTGTGGCGGCAAAAAGCTTGGACAGTCCCTAGTGGCACTCATCCTAACTTCGTCACTCATCTCAGAGATTTAGGGGCAGAACTTTGGTGTCAAGGATTTGTTGGCAGAACATGGGTTGCCCAGGGGGTTGCGTAAATTTGCAGCTTTTTTTAAGGCTTAACTTTGTGGCGCAGAAAGGAGCCGAAGTCGAAGCCGAAGTCGTCACATTAATATCGGTTGTGCTAACTTCACTACTCCACAGCTCTGCCTTACCCCAGAGAGTAACGTTATTTAAAACCCTACGACTCACCATCCAGGTACAAGAGGCACTTTTTCCACCGTCGGCAAAGTAACACTGTTGACAGGATGATTTGTGGATAACGTGGAGATAACTCTCATTGCTCTGCGTCGTCTTGTCATTGCTGACCCGGATGATGGCACTTTGTCCCCTGACGTTGGGCTGCGTACATTCAACCTGGTACATACTGATGTAAGCAGCTGGTACGTTGACCATAACTCCGGTCTTTGTCACCGTCGCACCCACCTGGAAAATACATGTTTTTTTGTTGTTGTTGTTTTTTTAAATGTGACTCTATGTATTAAAATGACTGACAGACTAAGTTTGAATTAGTTGATAAATATGATTAATAGTAAAACTTATTTTTAAAATTCGACTTCTTTGCATGTTATGACTTTTAAAGATGAATCTTTGAGGGATGTTGAAAATGATAAAAAGTCATTTAAGAATCATTTAACGACTTTTTATTGTGATATATTTTAGGACACCAGAGCGCTGTGAGCATGCTAAAATAGCAAGGACACCATGGCGCTGTGAGCATGCTAAAATAGCAAGGACACAAGCGCTATTAAAGTAGACAATCATCAGCATCTTAAACCAGGAACTACACAAAAAACGTATCTTAAAAAACATATATTAAAAACATACATTTAAAAACGTATCTTAAAAACGTATCTTAAAAGCATATCTTAAAAAAAGTATCTTAAAAACGTATCTAAAAATATATCTTAAAACATATCCTAAAAACTTATCTTAAAAAGGTATCTTAAAAACGTATCTTAAAATATATCTTAAAAAAGTATCTTAAAAACGTATCTTAAAAAAGTGTCTTAAAAACGTTCCTTAAAAAATATATTTTGAAAACGTATCTTAAAAATATATCTTAAAAAACATTTCTTAAAAAAGTATCTTAACAACGTGTCTTAAAAACCTATCTTAAAAAAGTATCTTGAAAACGTATCTTAAAAAGGTATCTAAAAACGTATCTTAAAATATATCTTAAAAAAGTATCTTAAAAACGTATCTTAAAAAGGTATCTAAAAACGTATCTTAAAAAGGTATCTAAAAACGTATCTTAAAAAGGTATCTAAAAACGTATCTTAAAATATATCTTAAAAAAGTATCTTAAAAACGTATCTTAAAAAGGTATCTTAAAAACGTATCTTAAAAAGGTATCTAAAAACGTATCTTAAAATATATCTTAAAAAAGTATCTTAAAAACGTATCTTAAAATGTGTCTTAAAAACGTATCTTAAAATATATCTTACAAAAAGTATCTTAAAAAGGTATCTAAAAAAGTATCTTAAAAAACATATTTTGAAAACGTATCTTAAAACTATATCTTAAAAACGTATCTTAAAAACCTAACTTAAAAACCTATCGCTAATAATTCAAGCATGATACATTTTTTTAATAAAACTATTTGAGAGATGTTAATTGACATAAAATTATCGTAGCGTGTTCATGCCTCAATGAACATGAAAGTTATGACAACGTACCGTGACACATTAGAAGTGACAAGTTATTGCAACGTAAAGTGACATATTCAACTGGACAAGCTATGACAACGTACCGTGACACATTAGAAGTGACAAGTTATTGCAACGTAAAGTGACATATTCAACTGGACAAGCTATGACAACGTACCGTGACACATTAGAAGTGACAAGTTATAGCAACGTAAAGTGACATATTCAACTGGACAAGATATGACAACGTACCGTGACACATTAGAAGTGACAAGTTATAGCAACGTAAAGTGACATATTCAACTGGACAAGATATGACAACGTACCGTGACACATTAGAAGTGACAAGTTATTGCAACGTAAAGTGACATATTCAACTGGACAAGATATGACAACGTACCGTTACACATTAGAAGTGACAAGTTATTGCAACGTAAAGTGACATATTCATGTGGACAAGATATGACAACGTACCGTGACACATTCAAATTGACAAGTTATTGCTACGTAAAGTGACATATTCAACTGGACAAGATATGACAACGTACCGTGACATGTTGAAAGTGATAAGTCATGACAACTTACCGTGACATATTCAAAGTGACAAGTCATGACAACTTACCGTGACATATTCAAAGTGACAGGTTAAATCCGGGGAAGCGTGGAAGTTGAGGCCCACGATTGTAACCGAGGAACACGACGAGCTGAGGATGTCGCAGGCCAAGTATGCAGTGGCAATGACCGGTAGGGCGTTGGGCTCCACAGTACAGACTTCTCCGGTGTAGCCGTTCTTGCATACACAATCAGCTGAACGCAGAGACACGGGGTGGATGAAAATATCTTACACATTCATGTCTAATGTTTACTAATTAAAATGATATAAAAGTCATACCTAGAACACAGCGGTCAAACAAGAGATGACGAGTACTTACCGTTGACACAGTCACCGTTAGCCCCACAGTCTTTAGTGCACAAGTTAGTTCGCAGCTCGGCAGACAATGCCGGTTCGCCGCCTTGAGCTTCGGGAGATTCCCAGGCACTTGCGTTTTGCCTGGCTGTGCTCAAACATTCCTGGGTGATGTCACTCAGGTGAGACAGGGCCCACTCAGGGTCACCGGTAATCTAGGATTTAATGACAGTTTTGGGTCACGTTAAGATCTTACTTGTAGACAATGACAAAAAACGGAGTTGACAGGGAGGGTGACCTGGATTAGCTGAGAGTAATGAATTTCACAGCAACGGCAACATTCCTTTCATCATATGTCAAGAATTAATAAGGGATGAAATGCGACAAGAAATCTTCAGCGTAAGTCACAGAAGAAAAAAAAACAACAGAAAGAATTAAAGTAAACTATTGTTTTAAATTTACATACAGTTCTTTCAAAATGAACAAAGTTTTCTATCGCGGGAAATTATCAACTTAACTGAAAGATGAGAACTTGTGGCAGATACCATAAGTTAAAGCAGATACAGTGTCTTGATAACCACACAAGAACTGAGTTCAGATTTGACGAAGAATGAAGAAACAAGAGAAAAATATATGGAATTAACAAAGTGTTTAGTTCCTCATATAAATGAAATCAAGGGACAAGCACGAGACGACACGTGACATATAATGATAGGTCAAGGTGTGTGACATGAACAACGTTTGTGTGCTGTGAATGGAGATGTGTTACATGAACAACGTTTCTGTGTTGTGAGTGAAGTCCTGTCACTAATTTTTGAGTCAGTGAATTTGTTGGTCTTGAAAATGATCTTCGAAAGTAAATTTTCTAATTCAGTGTGTGGACCAGTAAAACATTACAAACTATGGACTTAAATCTTAAGCCAATGTGGTGAGGAGTGACCGGTCACCAACCAAGACAGGCTGACTGAAGCCACCATGGAATTATACCCCTGTTACCATGGTCTCATACATGCAAGTGTTACCATGGAATTATATAAAGTAACTAAATCTTATTGCACTGTTACCATAGTTTGATATCACGTTTGATTCCATCGACTATTACTCACGTTGAGATCGTCGGTGCAGCTCTTGATGCTCTCACTGACACTAACATTGCTGAGGTGCTCTATACAAGCCATTGTAGCACTGCTGTTCTGAAGGGCAATGTTACAGAACTCTCTCGCTTCAGACTCCGTAAAGCTCCTGGAACCGCTGGCCACAAGCGGCGCCTGTGTAAGGGACGAAATCATTGGACATGTGAATATCATAAATACAAAACAAAGAAAAATAAGTGTTGCAAAGCAATCACTATTTTCTTGTGTAGGAATAAAACTGATTTCGTGAAAAGTAATTAAAAAAAATGCTAATCGGTGCGTCCTCTGTTCAAATAATTTGTTGGACTCACCTGTTCGCTTTCCACTGCTCGTCGAAACCTAGCTTGCTGCTGGCCAAACATTGGTGTTTTAGCAAGTCTAACGAGGGAGGCAGTCACATCGGCAGCTAAGGTAGAAACAATGAATGCATCAACACAATGTAAACATGGATTAATAATAATTTTAATTGCTTGGGGAGTGGGGGGGGGAATAAATTAAATTCCCTTTTAGTTTAAATAAACTCGTATTTCCTCATGTTGTTTACAGCTTAAAATGGTCACATAATGGCAGGTAACGCGCCCAGCCCTTCATATTCGTTATCATATGAATTTACACTTTGTTATGTAATGAGTATTAACAGTGTTTCAATAAATAAAATATAAGTGGATCAGGCTAAAGATATCACTAACAGTTGCACAGTCAGACTGTACCAGCACCAGAAACTCCCAGACAAAGGGAGACGTAGAAACTCTAAGACAAAGCCAGACTCAGAAACTGACAGATTAAAATCCCAGAAAGTGCTTTTAAGCGAATCATTTTTACAATAATAATAAATTATAATGGGTTCGATAAGCTCTACTGACGATTGCGACTTTCGGCACTGCATTTGAAGACATCAAGCCCAGCTTCACACACGGCTTGTTGGCCAGCTATACAGCTGCAGTACTGCGGCACACTGTAGGAAGCATTGGCTTGAACTCCGTTGAAAATCGTGGCGGTGCGACTGGAATAGCCATATAAGTAAATACAGTTATGATTTGTGCTCTTAAGTGGTTTGAGAGCCGACGTAGATGTAATACACAGGCTCTTGGTTGAAAGATGCGGCATTGACCAGTGAGACAGTCATCAAGATTAAATTGCTTCCTACTAAATTACAAGACAATATAACTCTCTGTGGAGTCGTAGTTGAAAAATTATTTTAATTTTATAAGTCATTACATAAGAAAATGACGTTAAAATCTTTATTTAGAATACAGTTTGATCTGGCCACAGACACATGTCACAAAGCCATAAACAATTCAGACGAACACACCGGCACTTGAGAGATGTACACAAACACATGTACACAGACACGGGTACACAGACACATTTACACAGACACGTGTACACAGGCACATGTATACAGACACATGTACAAAAACAAATGTACACAGCTACATGTACACAGACACATGTACACAGACACGTGTACACAAACACATGCACACAGACACATGCACACAGACACATAGACTTACAGCCATCTTCTGCTGAACGTATCAGCCACGACTCCTTGCAGGTCATTGTTTGGATTGCCATCAAAGTTACCACAGAGACCTGGAAAATGGAAGCATAAATTTAATAACCCCTAATGACAAAGTTTTTCTCTTGAATCCTTTAGAAAATGTAACATCGTGCATTGGGGATTGGGGATTGGGGCTGACAATTTGACAAGTAACGCACTTTATGAGAACCCCAAATAGTGGTCATTCCCCCCTTAAGACTCACAACTGCACAAGTTTTTCACACGCCTTAAACTATTTTGACATTCTAATGCCCGACGCTCCTTTACACCCCAGATTTATTTCACCAACTATTTCAGAAAAACAAATGAAAATATTACTAACTAAACGACCTTGCTTTATTTTTTCTTAAATAATCTCATTAAGCAAAAACCAAATGTCGCAATTATATGTCGTAACCAAAAGTCTGAACCAAATGTCCTACCCAAAAGTCTTAACGAAATGTCTGAACGAAATGTCTGAACGAAATGCCTTAACCAAATGTCTTAACCAAATGTCCAAACCAAATATCCTACCAAATGTCGTACCCAAATGTCTTAACCAAATTTCTTCACCCAATATCTTAACTAACAAAATGTTTTAACCAAATGTGTTAACCAAATGTCGTACTAATGTCCGAACGAAATGTCTGAACGAAATGTCTGAACTAAATGTCTTAACCAAATGTTTTATCCAAATGTCTTAACCAAATGTCTTAACCAAATGTGTACTCAAATGTCTGAACGAAATGTCCTAACCAAATGTCTTAACCAAAGTCTTAACCAAATGTCGTACTCAAATGTCTTAACCAAATGTCTTAACCAAATGTTATAACCAAATGTCATAATCTAATGTCCTAAGCAAATGCCGTAGCCAAATGTCTTAACCAAATATCATAACCAAAATGTCGCAACCTCGTTTGTAAGACATAAATGTTGTGTTTCCTCGTTCAATAAATCAATAGAATCAACCTCCCTCCCTCCCCCCTCCCCCCCCCACACACAAACTTTCTAAGTCGCCTCGTTCTCCTCAATCACCTTCTGATCTTGACAAATCTGTAGCTGAACCAGTCACGTGAATGTCCATAAAAGGTTTTTTCGCTGCTGAAACGGTCACTTTGGTTCCGGTAGGCAAGTAAACCTGAGAAGAAAAGATACGGTTTATTAAATAATACTTTTACTAAAAATTCCAAATGTTAGTGACACTGTTTATGGCAATTTCAAAGTTTACAACGACCGACAAAAAATTGGTGGTAAGAGGAGGGGGGAGTCTAATAGAGAGCGTCATATAAATACAACTGGGATTCATTAATAATGTAAAGAGAATGGAGAAAGTCCGTATTCAGAAGGATCTCGTGTATTCAGGGACCAGCTTTGGAAAGGCACAGTGGACGGCTGCTACTGCGCCATTAAGACTTCTGTCAAAGAAACAGGGGGGAAGCTAACATAGAATTGATGAATGGGAACGGATAGCTGATCACCGTTCTGGCTGGCTGAATATGGAAATCCAACATGCGCGAGGATGCTCAATGAAGCCCTTGTGAGAACACGAGCTATAGGGAATGTCAAAGAAGGCCAGCAGTCAGGGTTCTCCTACGAAAACTGAAGCTGGGACTGACACTCCGGGATCGGCCTCATTAGCCGCTCTAGAAACGGAGCATAGACGGGCGCAGCACCAACCTCTCACACAGATGGAGGGCATGAAATAAATAATTTTTTCAGGATTACAGAACGAACAAAAAGTCCACGACCGATGTACTGACAGAAATGACCACCGGACCGTTCTCGAATCCTCTTCTCTGTACTATGTTTCATTCGTGATTTATTTGAACTGACCTCGTATTTCTGTCCGGACCCAATGCGTTTGATCCTGGTCCCAGGTGTAAACTCTCCGTTCTTGTAGATCTCAACGTTAATGACGCTGCTACCCACGTGATTAAAAGGTGGCAGATTCTGACGTGCGTCACAGGTGCTAGGAAATGGAATACAATTTTTTTTTTTGGTTTTTAAATTGAGATTTAAAAAATAAAAAAAAAACACATTTAGTATAAAAAGAACTATGCGTTGAGAGGAATTTTTTTTTTTACTTATGTGTTTGTGTTGATGTTATGTTATAAGAAAATGGGTCACGGAGACAAAATGAATTTGAAGTCTGTAAGGCATTGGTGAATACAGTCTTCACAGACTTAACATTTTTTTTTTTTAGAGGAATCATGTACGTGGAAGCTTGAACTATAGAGACAGGAGAGAAAAAGAAGAACATGTCTGCTAAGATCCTTCCTCAGTCTGTAAGAAGGTTCCATGTTTAACTCAAACAAATCTTCCGACACTCTCAGAATTAAAATTAATAAAACGCCAGCCGTGTCCTATTTTTGCTTTAGGCGCCTTGCAGTACACGAGACGTTCTGTTTTAGAGCAACTTACTTGAAAACGATGACGTCATCGCCAACCCGAACCGACGCCCCACAGTTACACGTCACGCGGGTGTTCAAGGCCGAGCAGTGGCGGTAGAGTGAGCGCACCTGGTCAGTGGTGGTCAGAAATTGGTTTGGTTTTAAAAAAGAAATAATTGAGAAAATAAATTGAAAAAAAAAATCAAAGCTTAATTTGGCTTTTACATTAATTGTTAAATTCAAGCGTAAATTAAACATGTGTGACGGATGCGATGAGAGAAATAAACATAAACAAGTTAAAAGTTTCCGATCAATATTTTTTTCTAAAGTTTAAATAAATTAACAAAACAACGCTGAAGAAGATGGGTTCTATTCCTTCACAATAATTATCAATCCCAGACACCCGCTTGATTTAACACCATTTTCCACCAAGTCCCATCGCAGCCAGGACGCCCAGTAACATACAAGATAAGTGCGGGGACAGATTGAGTTGATTACCTCATACGGCAAAGTTGAATGTCTGTACATGACAAATTCTCCGGCGATCATATTGTTATACCGACTAGATGTGGGGAAAACATTTGAAAAAAGTATGAGAGCTTGTTAAGGTAATGACCTAGCAATTGAAATAGATGCATGTAAAGCAATCTTTGCTATTTCAATCATATAAGAAAATAACAAATGCAATCACCAAACAGTCGCGACAATCTTTCTTTCTGTCTCAGCCAAAATTAAGCCAAAATTTCTTGATCTTCTTTCACCCCCACATTCCCACACCCTCACAAAGCATCATTTTCCTAGTACCCCCCCTAAAAAAACAAAAACAAAACAACAACAACAAAAAAACCAAACCAGCTAACTAAAAAGATACCTCCCCCATCCCCTTTTTTTTCCAAAATAAAAAAATATGATAATAATAATTTAAAAAAAAAAATTAAACGGAAAGAATCAGCAGTTGCCAGGGTAGGTACTAGAGTTTTTGGGGTCGGGTCGACTCCATTATCTCACTTACAGCTTGTCAAAGGTTGTCATATGAGGATCGTTGACAGAGGAGCACGTGCACGGCCTGTCGTTGTTGACAGCTGTCACGGAAATGCTGTTACAGAAGACGGTCTCTGTTTCCCCGGTCGCCTACAAATATGTGGAACAGTTATAAAAACATTTGTATTTTGAATAAAAAAAATGGCTGACTTACAGATTTAAGCGGTAGACCACGATCATATTAAAATCAAGGGTATTCACCTCTATAAATAGAGATTTAATTTTAAAAAATTGTGTAAATAGTTTATTTCCTCTTCAATACAATAAGTCTAGCTAAAAGTTGGCCTGAAATCTAATAAAGTTTAGCATTAAATTTATTAACATTTTAAAAAGAATTTTAACGAGATATCCATTTTATTGATCTATTTAAATGCATTTTTTCTATGGGTCTATCTTTCATAAAACTTAAATTAAATTTGTTCAAATTGATGACAGGCGCATCAAAGCACATCAATTGACGACAGGCGCACCAAAGCACATCAATTGACGACAGGCGCACCAAAGCACATCAATTGACGACAGGCGCACCAAAGCACTTCAATGGACGACAGGCGCACCAAAGCACATCAATTGACGACAGGCGCACCAAAGCACATCAATTGACGACAGGCGCACCAAAGCACATCAATTGACGACAGGCGCACCAAAGCACATCAATTGACGACAGGCGCACCAAAGCACATCAATTGACGACAGGCGCACCAAAGCACATCAATTGACGACAGGCGCACCAAAGCACATCAATTGACGACAGGCGCACCAAAGCACATCAATTGACGACAGGCGCATCAGAGCACATCAATGGATGACAGGCGCATCAGAGCACATCAATTGACGACAGGCGCACCAAAGCACATCTGAAGTTTGTTGTTTTCAAGACACTGAAGGTGGTGGCATTATTTGATGTCTGGACTTTCAGAGGTTTTGTGGTAGAGGTCTTTGACTTAAAAATGTGACCATTTTGGAAAAGTTGATGTAGTGAAAAAGCGTATTCCACTTGGAGACCAAGTCCCTGTTATTCCATTGAGAGACCAAGTCCCTGTTATTCCATTGAGAGACCAAGTCCCTGTTATTCCATTGAGAGACCAAGTCCCTGTTATTCCATTGAGAGACCAAGTCCCTGTTATTCCATTGAGAGACCAAGTCCCTGTTATTCCATTGAGAGACCAAGTCCCTGTTATTCCATTGAGAGACCAAGTCCCTGTTATTCCATTGAGAGACCAAGTCCCTGTTATTCCATTGAGAGACCAAGTCCCTGTTATTCCATTGAGAGACCAAGTCCCTGTTATTCCATTGAGAGACCAAGTCCCTGTTATTCCATTGAGAGACCAAGTCCCTGTTATTCCATTGAGAGACCAAGTCCCTGTTATTCCATTGAGAGACCAAGTCCCTGTTATTCCATTGAGAGACCAAGTCCCTGTTATTCCATTGAGAGACCAAGTCCCTGTTATTCCATTGAGAGACCAAGTCCCTGTTATTCCATTGAGAGACCAAGTCCCTGTTATTCCATTGAGAGACCAAGTCCCTGTTATTCCATTGAGAGACCAAGTCCCTGTTATTCCATTGAGAGACCAAGTCCCTGTTATTCCATTGAGAGACCAAGTCCCTGTTATTCCATTGAGAGACCAAGTCCCTGTTATTCCATTGAGAGACCAAGTCCCTGTTATTCCATTGAGAGACCAAGTCCCTGTTATTCCATTGAGAGACCAAGTCCCTGTTATTCCATTGAGAGACCAAGTCCCTGTTATTCCATTGAGAGACCAAGTCCCTGTTATTCCATTGAGAGACCAAGTCCCTGTTATTCCATTGAGAGACCAAGTCCCTGTTATTCCATTGAGAGACCAAGTCCTTGTTGTTCCATTTGGACGTCAAGTCTTTGTTATTCCATTTGGAGACCAAGTCCTTGTTATTCCATTTTGAGACCAAGTCCCTCTTATTCTATTTTGAAACCAAGTCCTTGTTATTCCATTTTGAGACCAAGTTCTTGTTATTCCATTTGGAGACCAAGTCCTTGTCATTCCATTAGGAGACCAAGTCCTTGTCATTCCATTAGGAGACCAAGTCCTTGTTATTCCATTTGGAGACCAAGTTCTTGTTATTCCATTTGGAGACCAAGTCCTTGTCATTCCATTAGGAGACCAAGTCCTTGTCATTCCATTATCAGACCAAATCCGTGTCATTCCATTTGAACACCAAACACCACACGTTGACATTGTACCCAAAAATCATTTCAACCTATAAAACGAAAATACAAGTGACGAGTGACACACCAACAATCATCTGCTGACCTGGCCTACTATCCTAACTGTGATGTCAATGACTCTTGTCCTGTCCCCGTCATTGATCCCATCAATAGTGGCTTTGATTGGGATGGTGACGCCGAGTAGCCAGTTGCTGTTGGTGATGACCACTCCACAACGCTGGTCACTGCCGTCACCCACGATGCCGGCACCTATAACGGTCTGAGGGATGTACTCCGTGTTGGAACACCTGAACAAAGATGCCATTATCATAACACATAATTAAGGAACATGTTGAGAGCGGTATCATAAAAAGATGGGGACCGGGGTCAGGAGCGAAAAATATTCGGCGAAGAAGAGACATTGTAAAGGTTCAGGCCATGCGTAGTTCATTGAAACACACTTCTTTCGATGCATGCTTTAAATTGGATTAAACATCTCGGCCATGTTTGATTGCTTTGGGTTTGCCCAAACCCATCAACATGCGTGAATAGATGTTAGCCGTGAAGTCCCCATGGTATCATAGTTATGGACAAGTGTTATCTCGTCCATGATTGACTCAATCCGCAAAATTTAGACTAGATATTTCCCACACATCAATGGTTTAGAATATCTCAAATATTCGTATTATTTAACAAAAATGAAACGCAGAAAAGATTACCTTTAGCTTTTTAAAGGGATAGTTTAAAATTTAAACCTTAAATAATTTATTTAATGGACTGTTACCAAACCGAGTCAGAGCTTCAATTGAAAAAAAGCAACAACAACAACAAAAATACGAAAAACAACAACCTAATCGGAATTAATTCAAAGCCAAAAAAATATTCAAATTGTTTTATCCTGAGCTTTGGTCTCAATCAACAAAAAAATCAGTATCACTTTCATACATTTAGAGAAACAAAATTTATATACATATTTTTTTTAATGGCAAGAATGGGCGTTCGAATTCTATTCAATCTGTGGAGTCGAGCCTAATCAAATTCTTATGAAAATGTTCTTTCGGTCATTCAGATCAATGATAAACACAGTTTATAAATAATTATTTAAACTTTTTGACTTCATTTCATTGTAAATTTCCTCATTCGTGGAATTGTCATTATTTAAGTATACGTACGTTGAATTTGTTAACTCTAGAACCAGACAGTGTTTGCCTACCTGAGCTCAATGGTTCTAAAATTAACGTTTGCCTTCCTGAGCTCACTGTTCGTAAAGTGACTGCCTCTACCTGAGCTCACTGTTTTGTAAAGTGAATGTTTACCTACCTGAGCTCATTGTTTGTTGAGCGTATCTCCGTGATGACCTCAACGCGACAGTTGCTGTTGTCCCCTGGTTTACACAACAAAGCTGGTGGTACGGACACATTCAGATGTAACACGTAAAGTCCTTGACCCTCCACCAGACGAATTGGGGTGTTTGGTGGACACTGGTGATAGAATGACCATAAGTAGTTGAGAAGAGGAGCTAATTTTAATAGCGCTTCTGAGGATCACACCGAACAGTCATTTTATCATAATAACATTAACTTTTGACGGCATAAACCCTTTGACTGAACATTTGAAATGACAAAACTCGAGGGAACAATTTAATACTTCACATTCATTACAGGAACATTTATGTTAAACGATAACATAATAATATAACTAAAATTGCTTCACAAGTTGAAAAGAAAGATATGAGGCGTAAATTTATGAAAGGACAAATTACGAGAAATTTGAAATTTAAAAAAAAATTAAAATCAAATATTTGAAGAAGCTAACATCATTACAAATTTGTCATAGTACGAATTGGGCGAAAAAACAACACAAACTTGAAATGGTGTTATGGTTTTTTGGACATAACGTAACTCCACATTCGAGAACACTCAACAGTTTTGTCCTCAACCCATCATTTTTTATATCCTTAATATTCACTTCGCTGGCCTTCGTACGTTTGGGACAAAATATTCGAACGGCTATTTGACCCACTTGCCGTCATGCTTTGGAATTGAAACTCGGTACATATACTCATTGGCGATGACAACAAATTCTATCTAATGTTCACCCACACCTCAGTTTTTCCAGTTTTTCCCCCCCAAGTTAAAGATGAATGATATTTATGAAATTACATAAACGCCTCATAATGTATGATATACCACGCACAATGACATACAAGTAAATAAAAATGCATATAAAGTATTATAACGAAAAACGTCATTTTTAAGGGTTGTTAAATTATACATTATTTTGGCTCTCTCCATTTTCGTTTTTCTATATAAAGACAATTTTAATGAACTTGCGTTAAATTACCGTAATGTGTGGTCTGATAACGTTGCTGTCAGTCTTAGAGCACCAGGTGACAAATGTGTTTTGATATCCGACTTCAGCTGAACAAGTAACCTGCAAACAGAAAATAATTATAAACATATTTAAATTTTAAGATATAACAAATAAATAATGCAAATCAAAAGTGACCACCTGCAAGCTCCACTAAAAACGTCTTGCATAAACTGGTTGTCTTGCACAAGCTTGCTGACCAGTTAATTATTTCTAATGCAATTCTATAACGTGAAAAATAATTGATAACGCTCTCCGAAAATCTTACTCCCGGGTAAATGTTTTTACTCCAGCTTGTTCTTAATAAATAGCAATATAATAAACAGGTTCAGCGTAAACGAAATCAGCAATCAGCATACACGAACAACGCAGGTCAGTGGTATGGCAAGAAGATAAGTCCACAAGGATACTTCCCAATTCAGAACTGGGATTATTAAGGATAATACTGCCAAGATAACACGCATCATAATATACTTCACTAACAACTTACTGTTTTGTTCAAGAGACTTTGTTGAGCGAGACTTGCTAGGATTGAAACACTCGTGGTAGGGGACGTGACCACTGCGCTTTGGAAGCTGACACCATTGACATACCACGTGAATCTGATGGTCAGACCTGCCGCTGGGACGCTCGAGACGGAACAGGTCAGCTGACCACGACCAGTTGTGTCGACAGATGTGGTCAGGGACACGGTGAACGTCCATTCCGGGCAAGGTGGTCTAGTTGATGGGGACTGAGTTGTAGTAGTAGTAGTTGTTGTTGGTGGTGGTGTTGTTGGTGGTGGTGTTGTTGGTGGTGGTGTTGTTGGTGGTGGTGTTGTTGGTGGTGGTGGTGTTGTTGGTGGTGGTGTTGTTGGTGGTGGTGTTGTTGGTGGTGGTGGTGTTGTTGGTGGTGGTGTTGTTGGTGGTGGTGTTGTTGGTGGTGGTGTTGTTGTAGATGTAGTTGTAGTGGGAGAAGAAGGTTGGGGTGTAGTTTCAGGGGCTGTAGTAGTTGGTTGGGGTTCTTTGGTTGTTGGTTTTGGTCCCTCAGTTGTTGATTGTGGTCTTTCAGTACTTGGTAGTGGTCTTTCAGTTGTTGATTGTGGTCTTTCAGTTGTTGGCTGTGGTCTTTCAGTTGTTGGTAGTGGTCTTTCAGTTGTTGATTGTGGTCTTTCAGTTGTTGGCTGTGGTCTTTCAGTTGTTGGTAGTGGTCTTTCAGTTGTTGATTGTGGTCTTTCAGTTGTTGGTTGTGGTCTTTCAGTTGTTGGTTGTGGTCTTTCAGTTGTTGGTTGTGGTCTTTCAGTTGTTGGTTGTGGTCTCTCAGTTGTTGGTTTTGGTCTTTCAGTTGTTGGTTGTGGTCTTTCAGTTGTTGGTTTTGGTCCCTCAGTTGTTGATTGTGGTCTCTCAGTTGTTGCTTGTGGTCTCTCGGTTGTTGGTTTTGGTCCCTCGGTTGTTGATTGTGGTCTTTCAGTTGTTGGTTGTGGTCTCTCAGTTGTTGGTTTTGGTCCCTCGGTTGTTGATTGTGGTCTCTCAGTTGTTGCTTGTGGTCTCTCGGTTGTTGGTTTTGGTCCCTCGGTTGTTGATTGTGGTCTCTCAGTTGTTGCTTGTGGTCTCTCAGTTGTTGGTTTTGGTCCCTCGGTTGTTGATTGTGGTCTCTCAGTTGTTGCTTGTGGTCTCTCGGTTGTTGGTTTTGGTCCCTCGGTTGTTGATTGTGGTCTCTCAGTTGTTGCTTGTGGTCTCTCAGTTGTTGGTTTTGGTCCCTCGGTTGTTGATTGTGGTCTCTCAGTTGTTGCTTGTGGTCTCTCGGTTGTTGGTTGTGGTCTTTCAGTTGTTGGTTGTGGTTTTTGGGTTGTTGGTTGTGGTTCATCGGTAGCTGGCTTTATTTCGGTAGATGGTTGTGGTCTGTCAGTAGATGGTTGTGGTCTGTCAGTTGTTCCCTGTGGATTATCTGTGGTAATGGCAGGAGGTTGTGTCGAGGGTTTAATTGAGGACTTGGGTGGCTCGCTAGTGTCTAGTACAATGTCTGTTGGATAATAGTCTGTGAATCCTGAACAATAATCTGTAAATAAATTTACATATGCAAAATTATTCTTCTACGTAATAAGTTTTTAAGTAATAATAAATTATAAGGCAAAATGCTATAAATATATTTATTGTTCATTTAATATTAAAGTGCGGCAACAGTGGGGGCCCATTGTATTAGGTACCCTTTTAGTTATGAAGAATAAAAATCTTTAAGATAAATAATGAAGTAAAAAAATAAAAAAAATTACTTTAAAATTGGTTAAAAATGTCATAGATATAGTCTCTTAAATTTCTGGAAAATTCTAGCCTGATCTTGAATACAAATTTTAAAAGGTGTAGAATTTTTTTCCGATTGCAATTCAAGGAAACCACAGTTAAATTGGCTAGTTTTATTCATACACCTTATCAAAATTTAAAAAAAAACGAATTTTGGAACCTGGGCCCCAAAGAGAATATTTTATAAATTCGAAACCCCCTAGTATTATATTCTGGATAATGATGGGTGTGTGTGCCAAGGTTACCCAAGAATCAACGATTCATGAAGAAACATATGCAGAACCAACAACCAACATATTTACTACCCAATATACTCGCTGTAACACTGGAACGCATTAGGAAAAAATTATCATCTCAAGCCTTTTAGCTTACATCGAAATTATGGGCAATCTGAAAACACGTCGCTTAAGGAATACAAGATTTGGATCATAATAAGCATAATAAGGGCATTTACGTAATTATTTTAATTTGAACGGGAGGCCTCTAAAATAATCTAGTAACTTTATGGAACTTAATATAAGAACATTTCAGTGATGTCAAGAAAACCTCAAGGACAATACAAAAATCAATAGAACTTAACCTTTTGCATACCGCTATATATCATCGTGGCAAATTGTATAACTTTGTGTAAAATTTTACAAAATGAATTGTATACTCTCCTTAAAACATATAAAAAAAATGAATCCTCAAATAATCATTTTTCGGAAATGAAAGAAAATCTACAACAAAATGACAAAACTTTTAACCATATTTCCAATGAAATTTAAAGAAAGGCCCCAGTGAGTATTCCATTCTACAAGAGGCCCTTTACGTATGCATGCCTTGAAAGGTGCCCTATCAGAAATCAGTCAAATAAGTAATCGAGGGAAAATTTCATTGTCGTCCGACTAACTAACTTACTTAAGAAAATCAGCGAACACCAAGCCGAGGCTCATATGGTCCTCCTCATCGCACCACCCCGCCAACCAAATCGGCCGTCAACCACTGCCCCAGTGGTCTTTATTCCGATCTGGCCGCGAAGCGGCACGCCAGGGACGCTCCGCCCCTAAGACCGCCACACCCGACCTCCACTCGATTGGCCGCTGAGTGTGGCAGCCCCAGAGAAGAAACACCTGGCCAGCCGGGCAGCTGCTCACGCATATATTTATTTATTTAGGCATTTTTATACAGCGCTTACCATAAAGCTCTAAGCGCTTTACAATTATTAAAACATGTAAACTAAGTAAAATAAAATGAGACACTAGGATAGTAACTACTATACAATAGAAACAATTAAAATGACTATAAAACGAGGACACTTTGACACGTTTTGGCTCATACTTCAGGATCAACCCGAAACAGAAAATGAGGCAGGGCAAGGAGGGGCCATCACAGGTCATAGGCGGACCTAAACAGATGAGTTTTAAGGGACTTTTTGAAAATGGACGAGGTTTCACAATGACGGATATGGAAGGGGAGCTGGTTCCAGAACGTGGGCCCATGGAAGCAGAAGGAGCGTTCACCGATGGTCTTAGTTTTAGTTCTTGGGATTGAGAGGGTTCTACTGTCAATGGAAGAACGTAGTTGTCTTGTGGGGATGTAAGGAAGCAACAGTTCAGAGAGATAGACAGGAAAGTGAGGGTCAGTGAACGAGTTGAAGCAAGGATTGGCAGACTTGTATTTGATGCGAGAGGATATTGGAAGCCAGTGGAGTTGCCGCATGTGTGGTTGAATGGGGTCATGTTTCTTTGATTTAAAAATGAGTCTGCATGCTGAGTTCTGTGCCTTCTGAAGTTTGTCAACCGGGCCGGACTTTCTAGGGGGTTGGGGTGGATATGTTTAACGTCTCTAAAGAAATTTAAAACACATTGTCGTCCGACTAAAGTTGGTGAAAAAATGCAGGAGATATTTTTTAAATTACTGAACTTTCTGGAAAATTCTGGAACGGCCCAGAATTGATTTGATAGCATTAATTAATTTTAAAACCACTTTAATTTCAAGACTGACTTTGAAATTTATTACTACCAACAATGGCCGATTTCCATCAAATCACACATAATCTATGTGGATAATCAAGTGCATGTGCACTAAGTTTGGTCTAGATCGTTCCACCCATGCAAAAGATTTGTTTAAAGTTATACTTATGTAGTTTTTTAAAGGAAAAATAGAATTTAGGGCCCTCGGCCCGAAAAGGAATATTTTGTAAGGTTCACCCCCCACCATTTTATTCTATGTATGGTTGTGTGTGTGTGTGTGTCCACCTAGTTTGAATAAGATCCACAAATTCATGGAGAAAAGTTTTTTCAGTTTCAGTTTTATAAAGAAAATACCCAATTTCCACTTTTATATACATTTACTAGCATATATACTCGGCTTTTCCGGGATTGAATTCGAAAAAAAACACAGAAAAAAAACCAACAAAAAAAACAACAAAAAAAAAACACTTCTAAAGCTAACATCGAACTTAAAGTCCGTGTAAAAAATGCTACTTAGCTTACTTGATCAATACAATTCAATAAGCTAATATTTCTACAAGTTTTATTTGTAAAAATTAAATGTGGTCCCGGCTCTGAAGGATAATGGTATGACTTCAGTATCACTCAGTATTTGAATATGGATAATCAAGTGCTAATGTTCTTAGTTCGGCCCAGATCGATCCATCCATGCAGTATCCAGTGTTTTAAATTGTATTTATATAACTTACATGAGAAAAAAAAGAAAATGTAATATTCAATTAAATGTGTTGCTATTGTTTTATATTTCATTAGGTCTTCAGGTCAATCTAACAAGAAGTTCAACAAAGAACGAATGCCTGATATTACAATGTAATATTAGTTACAGTCCACGTAGCCCATTCCACTGACGAGGCCACCTTCTTCCAATCACTTTCTCAAGCGGGATTCCGGTAACCCACCCAGTGTTTATTTTTCAAGCATTTATCGGGAAATCCATCCCAGAACATGTAAGAAAAACAATTTTCTTGTTTTTATTCTGACATTTTAACAAGTCATTGAGTACTACATTGAGTACTACATAAAGTACTACATAGAGCACTAGAAATTAATGCTTTAAGCAGGGACCAACAAAATTGGTAAATTGTGCTGCAATATGAAATTCAGTATCTCCATTGCACAGTTTCTCCACGCAAGTGATACATTGATAGGAAAGCAGTTTAAGAGGGTAAATTCCGGTAAATGAAAAGTAAATCGAAAGAACCTTTCTGAGCATAATACAATTTTGATTAACGACATATTTAATGCATAATGAAATATTAAGTCAAACTTAAGACTGTGACTAGATGGAAAACAGTTTAAAAATCATCATTTCTTGCAGTTACAATCCTAGCTGGGAAACCAGCGAAGATCCCTTTGTAACTCCAAATGAGCTAACGTCCCATGGGTTGGGAACCCTTGTCTAAGTCTACATTTGATGTAATTTAAGAAACTAATTTTACCTTCATCCACACACCCAGGGTTACAATATTTCGTTGTGGAGTATGGGGGAAACGAAGTTGTCGTCGCAGTTGAGGCAACCTCAGATGTTGTGGGTCTTTGGGTTGTCCACAGCGGTGTGGTCGTTGGAGCCTGAGTGGTAGAGGGCTTAGTTGTGTTACCACCTATTGGATTAGGAACAAAAATTGCAATGAGTTCTTTAAAGGTGATGATACAAAAAAAAAATATCGAACAGACTCAGTGAAACTGTTTTCAGTCTTTACAAAATATTTCCATAAAAGCTCAGTTATCCACAGCCAACCATTACTTCCCTACAGCATGCTACATTCAGTGCAAGAATCATGCTACATTTAACTACTACAATCATACTACACCGACCACTACATTCATACTACACCGACTACTACATTCATACTACTCCGACTACTCCTGATTCAATACGGGACTTACATGACACTATGTGATTGTTGAC